ATCGAAGGTAGATCAGCTAAGCATTGTTGTGAGGTATGCAGTAATAACCAGATCGGAAAATGGACAGCCAATTGATATAGAAGTAAAAGAAGTGTTTCTAGGCTTTTATGCAGCTATCAAACATGGCGCAGTAGATTTAGTCAACCAAGTGACAACATTATTTATCGACAAAAATATTGATTTAAAAAAATGTGTGGGGCAAGGCTATGATGGCGCCAGTGTGATGAGTGGTGTGTATAATGGTGTACAAAAACATATTAAGGATATCCAGCCTAACGCAGAGTACGTACATTGTGCCACTCATAATTTAAATTTGGTGATAAATGATGCCGTTAGCAGTTGTGTGGAAATACAGATTTTTTTCGCAACGTTGCAAGATTTGTATAACTTTTTCGGAAACAGCATCAAACGTTGGGATCTACTGTCAAAATTCACTGGCGAATCGGACACCACTCTAAAAAAACTGAATCCGACTAGATGGTCCAGTAGGGCCAATACGATATCTGCAATAAAACTTCGTTATTTTGATATTATCAAAGCATTATCAGAAATAGTTCTAAAGAGTCCTAATAAAGATGAGCGCAGTGAAGCAGAGAGTATTAAAACAAAAATGCTAAATTTCGAGTTCATGTTGCTTTGCGAATTCATGCACAGTGTATTGTGAACGACATCAATTATGCATCCAAAACTTTACAAAAATGCAACATCAATTTGGGTGAGGCGAGTAAAGTTTTAGCAGAGACCAAAGCAAAGTTGCAAATTTATAGAAATGATTTCGAATTATTCAAGTGCAAAGCCAGTGAAACTGCAAGAAAATATGGTATTGATACCCATTTTCAAGAAAAAAGGCAAAGAAAAGTTAAAAAACATTTTGATGAATTAGCTGCTGATCACCGATTTCCAAACCGAGAAAAAATATTTAAAATTGAGATTTTCAATAATGTACTAGACACAGTAATATCTCAATTAGATACACGTTTTATTGGTATGAGTGCAGTCTGTCATATATTCGATTTTCTAACACCAACATTTTTATTACATGTTGATGAAGCAACTTTATTACAAAAGCGTGACAAATTCCAAAGAAAATATTCAGATATAATAGGCCCTAGTTTTTCACTTCAATTTATTAATATTTACCACCTACTTTTGCCTCAACTAACTCAAGCATGGACTGTTCACCAATTATGTAAGGAAATAATGAGCAAATATGGAGTGCGAGAATGCGACCTAACGGAAGTATTTACAGTAATGTTATTATTCTTTACAATTCCTGTCACTTCTGCAGCAGCTGAAAGGTCATTTAGCAAATTAAAAATAATAAAAAATTATTTAAGAAATAATATGGGCCAAACTCGACTCCGACATTTATCGCTAATAGCAATTGAAAACAAAACCGCATCAAGCCTGGATTTAAACGAAGTCATTGATACTTTTGCGAAAACTAAAGCTAGGAAAAAATTGTAAATATAATTGTTATTTAGTCAGTTGGTAGGCCCGACCTTTATATAATAAACCCTTGAATCTTCTCTATTTCGTTTTATTAGCCAAACCTACACCAAGTATTAATTGTAATTTATGTTGTTACTGTTTAATATTTTTATTACCTGCCCAGCAGTGCACAAAAAAGAGCTTAAGTAGCTTAGCATTTTTAAAGTATTAGTATATTTCATATTTTTATTTGTAAAACCTAATCAGTTTACATTGCATTGGGGCCCCATTTTTTAATTTGCCCCAGGGCCCTTGGTTACCTAGCTACGCCACTGTTCATATTCCACTTTTTTTTTAAATAATTTACTGTTTAAATAATAATTACACAGTGGTAAAATTTTCTATGTTTATAGTTTTAATTCTGATCACTATTACAAATATTTATTTTGTAAGTATTAATCTCAACTGGTTAAATTTTTTAAAGTTTCTCTTTAATCGGGGTATTTCACTTTATTCAGTATATATATACATTTTTTTAATAATTTCACATTTTAAAACTATTTTTTAAATAAATAACTTCTTCGAAAAAAATGTGTCAATGTGTTTTAATATTAATTGTCTCATAATTTTCAGTTTAAATTATAGAAAAAAGCTTTCAAATTTGTCAATTAATAATTTTTTTATTTTATTTACTTTTTAAAAAAACATTTGTGCACAGTTATTGAGCATTTGTTATCTTTAGAATGTTTTTAATTATTTTTCATAAACTACAAATTTTTCTCTTATTTTGATTATGAGTGAGTACAATTTTTTGAAATAAAAACATAATATAATATAAGAGGGCAATTTAAAAATTGTTGAGGATAAAATTCAGTTATTGCATAATATTACACATTTGATAAATTTTTACAGTGTTAAGTGAAGTGTCCTTCCAAATCTCAGAGTCCTTATTTTGTGAAGAAGCATCCTGCCTTTTTTTTTTTTTTTATTCTTAGGGAGAACTCTGCTTTATTTTTAAAAAATCAATAATTTTCTGTATAGCATTACTTTTCAAGAATTCACATTTTAGCATTCATTTCCTTCATGTTTTCTTTAACTTTGTAATTTATGTTTATTAATTTTTATATTATTCATATAGCTACTACTCAGTTCATCATTTCTCTTAAAAATAATTATAAGCTAGTTCACTTCTAGCTTATTTTCCCATTATCTTTTTATAAACATAGATTAATATTTGCTTTTTTCTCTGAAATCAGCTTTCTTTCTCTTTCATAAACTTTTTTTTAAAAACAGTTTCAACTTATAATATAACATGGCATTTTTCTCTGGAAATATAGGACTATGAATCAATGAGAATTTATCTACAAAGTTTAGAAGCCCTTTTATAGCCTTTAACAATTTTAGACAGCCACCTAAAGCATATTTACAGTTTGCTTGACAATGAAACCAAATTCGAAGAAAGTAAACTAATAAAAATTAATTTGATTTATATCAACCAAATAGAAAAAAAATTTTAAATTTAACTAAAAAATGTTTCAAAATCAAATGCAAACAAAAAAAAAGGACCTTTTAAATAATGTTCCATGTGAATCTGTGGCTTTTTGCATTTTATATGCAAAAACATTTCTTCAGATAAATCTCTACAGATAGCATAATACAGGGAATTAAATCGAAAAAAAAACGCAAATAGTAAATTGTGACAGAAATACAAACACCGACGGGCTGATCAACACCGGTGATTAAATAACACACCTATAATAATTAAAAAGAATGACTTAATATAAAATTTAGCGTTACAAAAACTAACAAACTGTTGCAAACAAACAATACTGAAGAACAAAATAACAAAGAAAATTTTCACAATGTTTAGTAATAAAAATATTTTACCGTAATAGTTACTCTCTTCTTTAAAAAAAAAAACAGAAAAAAAAACGACATAAAAGTGGATTAGAAATCAGTCACTATGCGATGCAACAATATATTTTAATAGAGGAGATAATTCTTATTAAAGTATATAGAGAACATAATACCCAAATATTGAGTAAAACAGTATAGAAAGAACGTGGATGGGTTGGATTACACATATGATTAAATAAAACACATTAATAAATAAAAAAAATTTCATCGCAAATATACGATTAATATAACAAAACCTAATTAATAATACTGAAAAAAATTATCAAAATCTTCGTCACCTTAATTTTAACTTATTATACTTACTTAATAACATTAATATAAATATAAAGAAATTAATTTTAATATGATCCGTGTAAGAAACGCTGTAAACCGAAAAGCGTTGTTTGATTTGCAGAATCCATCTAAGCTTTTTCGTTACTGTTGCTTATATCTCTCAGGTAATGTTTCTAAAATAAGATGTACTTCTAAAACCTGCCGTAACATCTTTTCTGATTGGATAAAATTTGCCAATAGCATCAGATAAACCAATGAGATGAAACAAGAAGGGAAGTAAATTATATTATTTTAATGCTAATAGTAAGTATGATTTTAGCATGGTATGTCTATCTGCACCAAGTCCCGCAGTGGACTGATCGCTAAGACTTGGCTCCCAGCAGATCACCGAAGTCAAGCATCACTGGCTGCGGTCAGTGTGCGGGTGGGTGACCACTTGGATTAGTCTGCGTAGGGACAGAGGGTGTGCTGTAAGGGTCCTCGTTAAGCTGTTCTACCGTAAAGTGCTCGACTTCGCGTGCAGGTCGTCGGGCTACCGAAACAGGGGTGCCATCCCCTCTGCAGAGGATCAAAATTGTGATGGCATGTCTTCGGATCATTCTCAGGGATGTTTCCCAGACCGTCGCCTATAGCCCCTTGTGCAGCTCTAGTGCGACGTAAATAAACTACAACAACAACAACTATCTGCACCAAATTGGTGAAAGAATTTCTTCGCCAATAGTGTTAAATTATTCTACTTGGCTGCTGATACATCATTTGCTCTGCTTCAAACACCCCTTATGAAAAAATCGAGGTATAAATGAGGTATAAACGAGATATATTTTAAAGGTNTTGAACTTGTCTGGAGATAACTATAAAGAAATCGTTTCAGTATTGGGCCTTAAATGGAATTTATACAGTGATACTTTATCTTGTGAGATAAATGAGGAAAATCAACCCGCTCTGAGTTAACGAAATGTATTATCCATGTTAAGCCGAATTTTTGACCCTAATGGGTTTACAAGTCCTCCCTTATGAAAAAATCGAGGTATAAATGAGGTATAAACGCGGTATATTTTAAAGGTATAAAGAAGGTTGTTATTTAAATACGTCTTTAAGGTTGAAAAGGGTGCAAATGAATACCTCAAATATACCGTAAATATACCTCCAGAGGTATATATGTTTCAACCTGAGGTGTTTAATTTTACATCTGTGGAGAGGTAGATATTTACTACTTTAAAGTGTTTCATTTTCAACCATAGGTTATTACTTATCAGCCTGAAGTATATTTTTTTACACTTGTGGAAGTATTTATTCAACAACCTAAGGTGTGTCATTTTACACTTCAGGTTATTATAAATCAACCTCAGGTGTATTTTGTTCGACTTCAGGTAATTATTTTTCAACCTCAGGTATCTAATTTTATGCTTGTAGAGGTAGATATTTTTCAACCTATGGTGTGTCATTTTACACTTCAGCTTATTATAAATCTACCTCAGGTGTATTTTGTTCGACATCAGGTAATTGTTTTTCAACCTCAGGTATATAATTTTATGCTTGTAGAGGTATATATTTATCAACCTGTGGTGTGTCGTTTTACACTTCTGGTTGTTATAAATCAACCTCAAATGTATTTTGTTCTACCTCAGGTAATTATTCTTCAACCTCAGGTATATAATTTTATGCTTGTAGAGGTATATATTTTTCAACCTAAGGTGGGCCATTTTACACTTCTGGTTGTTATAAATCAACCTGAAGTGTATTTTCAACAATTGGAAAGGTTATTTTTAATTAGCGCCATGTGTTCCATGTTCTACCTTAAGTTATTATTTCGTAACCTCAAGTATATATTTTTGTATTTTTAGAAGTATTAATTTATCAACCAAAGATGTTTTTTTTAGCACTTACGAAGGTGAGGTGTTATACGGACCACCTAGTTTATTAATTTTTAGACTCACTATATAAAAAATATAATATATATATAAAGATATTATATATATTATATGAAGAATAATGTACATTACATTTTTTTCACTAGTAGAGATCATTTATCAACCTGAAATTTTTAATATTAAACCTTCGGCAGTAATTGCTTCTTTTGTTAAGCTATAAAAGAAAGTTTCAAACGCGTAATTCTTCTATAAAATTAATAGATTGAATTAAATCATCTTAAAATAACATTTTTCGAAATTCTACAGTTAGTAAAAATTATTTATGGGAACTCATGCTCGTATTTTTAGAAGATAGTTGTCTAAGGGGCTTGAATTTTTAAAGCTATAAGACTACAAATTTAAATAATTAGTCAACTGAAATTCAAATTACTTTTATTTAAAGCTAAAATTTCATTTTTTTACAAACCAACAAAATTATTTTAAATACTGTTTCCGTCTACCTGTTGAAACTTGTAATTATTGGAACCTAAAAGAAAAGAAAAATGAATTAGTAAGAAAGTCATATTTATAATAATAGTGCAGGTTTTAAAATATTAAAATCTTAGAAATTTTTTTTTTTATGATTTAAATTAACTGGATGAAATTAATTTTCTTTTTCAGATAAATATAGTATTACTCTGCTGCCATTTCTATTCAATCCTAGTAGCTAAAAAGCATGACATGTATCACAACCACAAAATAAAATACACTGAAGGCAGTATTACCATTAACTAACAACATTTACAGAAATTCAAATATATAATTCCAATCTTATTATGCAATTTTAACGCTTTTTATTTTTCAATGCATCTGGTAACATTATGGTACTTGAAAGTTTAATAATTAGATTTTCCTTTTTTTTTTTTTTACAAATCTTTAAACTCAATAAACCTAATCTATATTTGTAAACTTTTTGTCAGACTTCATGGAATTAATAGCTTTTTTTTTTAATTTTTAACGCTGATTCTAAAAGGGATTTACGTTATTGTCAATCACATCAGAGTTTCTTAAAAAATAGTTATTTTAATATTTTTTAATCAATGTAATCAAGAATCAACAATCTTTTAATAAATTTAAATTTTAAAGTTATGCCCCAATTTTTATTCTTTTTTTACACTCAATCGAATAGAACAATTTACAAGCTGATAAGGAGCATTTATTTTAAAGTTGTGAGTAATTTTATGTGAGGAAAATGTCTAAGAGAGAATGATTTGAAATAATACTTTTAAATTAAGTTGAGTATAATATCTCCTATATAACTTATAATACAGAGCAGAATAAAACTAATAGTTAGTTGTTACAAACACTTGTTTTGATATAAATACACATCCCATAGGATAAAATTTAAAATAATGCATATTACTTTCAGCAATAAATGCTTTCATTTGCAACTGATTTTTTTCAATTCAGGATTAAAATTGCATACTATACTGACATATTTCTAAAAAATTAAGATTTCCGAAATTCACACATTTTTGAAGTAGTAAACCATAAACAGCTGCATAAAAATGCTCAGAACCTTGAAACAAATTGTCATATAAACTTGAAATCGGATTTAATTTGATTCTGGTCAATATTCAATTAAGTAATAACAATCTGCTTAGTAAAAAATTAACGTGGGTAAATTGCGAAAAAATTACATGTAGTGAAAGTAGTAGTTTTGTGATCAAACATGAAGAAGTGAGCTAGTACAGTTACTAATTTTCAATCATCAAATATCTACCAAACTATTGTTATCAACAATTACATAAATTCTGTAGTTTATTAGGAGAGATTACTTTTTTTTAGGTATAAATTCAGAACTATTTACTCGAGGAAGGCTGAGCAGTAGCTTGCTAATCTCTTCTTCTGCGCCGCTGCGCATGTGCTTTCACAGCCTAAACCATCTCAGCAATATCAGGGAACTGTGAATAAGCTCTGTAAATATATATATATATATATATATAAACAATATAGACTTTGCAACCAACAAATATCCAAACGATAAGCATACAGCTATAGTAGAATTTCAAAGCAAAGTTGCTATTTTAAAAATCTTTCAATTTTCAATGATTTACTTATAAGAGATATTATGAACATTTTACTCAATTAAGCAGCGTGCATACTGCTACGTTAAAACATATTCATTTAAGCAAAATAAAAAGAATAGTTCCATTTGAATAAATTTCAAACAATAAAATATACTGTGCATAACCTGCTGCAACGATTCACCAGTAACGTTACCCTAAACAGCGACGAGAAATATTTCGATTATTCTCTCTTATTGCTAAGACTACAACGATAGCCTCCAAGATTATCCCCCAACTTCAATTATTTAAGATCAGGACGCGTTGTTAAAACAAAAATAATAATATTTAAGTTTGAAGATTGAAGCATATTTGATTAAAAGTGATAAAACTAAATTAATAAATGTCAAGCACACTTACCGAATTTCGAATAGACTTTCGATTGTCAACACACGCCATTTGCAGGCTCGCACGGAACTCTGGGAAATGAGCTAGTTAATATGAAGTGTACTTTAAACAACCTTAAAACAAGCTTAGGTATAAATAAAATGACTTCATACACCTCAATAAATACTTAACTCTCTTTAGTTGAAATAAGGTATATTTTTTATACCTCGTAAATACCTCACTTTCTTT